GGGCAGGAAATGCCACTATCAGCGTATCAAATGCCATTAAATGGAACGGTTATCCCCACCTCCAGGTCCTGCACCTCTGTGGCGACATTCGGGCATATTGATAGACGAGGATTTTGTTCACATAAAAAATGCCCAGGGTGGCAGTTGTTAATAGTGCTTTAACTCCTCCCTAGAGAATGCTCAAGTCTTCAGGAAGCAAACAGAAGAGGAGAAAAGCGGACGTGCTGACCTGTATTGGCGTTTAGCCAGTGAACATTTATTTAGAGCATTTAAATGGCTTTCTTGACACTTTGCATATTCCACCGCCAACTGTCAGAGATGGCCAGATTTCCAAGCAGATGCCTTGAGACAAATGTTAAAGCCTTTTTTCTTTCCTTGGGTGTTGGGAGTTTGCTACCAAGATAGTTAGAAGACATCTCAAGATTTCTGCCTTTCTATCTACCAGCAGTAGAGACTGCGAGTTTTCACAAAGCGACATGACTTAGCAGGCTTTTATCTGTTTGCTAGAGAATCTTGGTTTGGAGGTATTAGCCATCATCCTTCTTGCAAAATTATATGCCCACTCTGGCCGTTTCCCTTTGTAAAAAGGTATTTCAGGGACTTGAAATGACTAGTCAATTCTTCTTCATATTTATTACAGCTTGAAAATCCTGAATTGTTCTTATTCATTAACATTTCATTTCGCCCCGATAACACACTGTGAGTTGTATGCAAAAGATCTCCAAAACCACCACAAAGAGCTCTCTGGTGCCGCCATATCAGTGCCACCATCAAGGGCATCATCGTACTAATACCAGGCAATTTCTCCCACATCCACTCCCATGGCCAAAAACCATGGCAAGCGCCAGAAACAACACCATGTTCTTCATGATTTGATGCAATAACTAAAAGAAACAAGCTCTATTATATTAGAGGGAAGTGATGTTCATCATATTGAGTGGCACCTCTTGTAAAGGCATCTATTTGAAAGTTAGCAGTTCCATGTTTGTCAATTCCTTCTCTTTTCTATAATGTTGGGCTATGGAACAAAGGTTGCAACACGAAGAAGCAAGTAAAAGTGCCACACAAGAAAAGCTCTCTGGAGTCAAAATCCAGTAAACTCTTGAAATGAAACTGCGAATCCAGATGAAAAATAGGGCTTAGACGGTTTATATATTATTGCTAGATCTCATGCAATGCCATACAGAAAACACGCTATCAGTCTTTTATTCTTGTTTCCACACCCATAATGATGAGTTTAGAAGAATTATGATGCTGATTCTTAAGTTGGGCTTACCCCTCAAAATGGGAGGATTCAGTTGCGCCAGACCCAACCCCTCTGGCAATGGTGGCAACTGTTGTCATACCAATACCTCCTCGGCTGGCAGTGTTGGGCAGCAGCCTTTGCGATTCCTCCCACGTCCATGCCCATGGCCAGCATCATCACAAACATGGCAAGCGCCAAAAACATCACCAAGAAAACTTTGTTCTCCATGATTTGCTGTTCAGACTAAGATCAAGTAGGCTTGTATATTAAAGAGAAATGGTTTGATCTGTGAGGCAGGAGGGGCTCGTATTTATAGCTCGAGGCAGCACAAAATGTTAGATAGTCTGGAGAGTTGTCTTGGGCTTATTTCTGATCTCTGGAAGAATAAAAAATGGTTCCATGCTTTATTTCATTAAAGTGGAACTTTTCATTATCCCACTTATGGTGTATGGCCACATGCCATTTTTATAACAACAATAAAAAATTGAAGTTTTAGCTTTATAATTTATAAATTAAAAACTTTTCATATGATTTTGTGTTATAATATTGTGAAATATAAAAAATAAATTAAAAAACTGATAGAAATATTAATAAATATTAATTAAGTACTAGGAAATGGCATGTGGACACATGCTAATTAATGTCCCACTTTACTGAATAAGTTCCACTTTAACGAAATAAAGCATTTCCGTGTCTGCCAATTCTTCTTTTTCTAACCCTTCAAATCCTTATCTCCAAAGTCACTCTCGCAGCTTTGCCAAAACTTTACAATCAAAGTTCCATAGAACTTCAATGCTAATATACTGGACATGAAACTCAGAGTTCTTGTCTTCCATTTCGACCACAGAATCACTGCGGCCACCTGCAACATTGTATGCTGCAAGCAAAGTGGTAAAAGCTACATCGTCTCTTCTCACTGGCAGGCTCCTGACAATCACTTGGGCATTCCAGAGCTGCCCAGCGTGCCCAAACAGATCGATCATGCAGCAGTAGTCCTAGTCGCCCGTCATGACCAGAAAATGGTCTATCCAGCAAAGTTGCAACAATTGTAGTGGGGCAAAAATAATCTGAAGGAATATTTAACATGGTAGAGGGAGGACTAATGTGGCTGTGGTTGGAGTAGGCCAAGATCATGGCAATCCACACCCACATCATCGTGGTAGGGAGCTTGATCAAAGGGAATGCAAGCTTCTTCAAGCTGGTTTCAAATGGTTGTCGATGTGCTGTCATTGTGCAGGTGTGAGGTGGCAACAACAAACAACATCAATTTGCATTGGCATCATTGCCATCAGCTAGAGGGGAGGAAATAACATGAGGCATCTGTGATATGGACGTGTGAGTTGTGACATTCCAAGCAATCTTCTTGGGGCTGGTTATCACAACGAACTACAAGGTTGATGGGCTCCGAGTAAGTCTTTCACATCGTCACAGAGACCAGCCCGAAAAACGTTCTTGTAGTGCAGAATAGTCCCAGGGAATGTCAATAGCAAACACTGTGTAAGTCGATCCCAGATCCTTCTTCACTCCCAATCTGTATCATTGAACAGAATGTGATACCAGGGTCACTCTTTTTAAACAAAGGGGGAAACCACGAGAGGGCGCTGCTGGAGAGAAGAGACCCACTTTTACAGTATTTGTGGAAATGGTAAAGCTGCATGAGAATTTGCAATTTCACTTGGTTAAAAAAAAAAACGAAGTAGAAGATTGGGGCTGACTATGAAGCTGTTAGATTTAACTATGTAACCGGAGATTGGCTTGTGCCAATGCCTTATGATCCTTTTGGAGCTGCTAAAGATTTTACTGTGGCACATCCATCTTCCGTCACGACCTCATTGGTATATGAGAGAGAGAGAGAGAGAGAGAGGGTGCAAGTGAACGAGCTCTATATATGAATGAATGATGGTGTTCATCACTCTAAAGGATCAATGCCAGGAGACCTTATACATACATTTGAAGCTTCATGCATGCCACCTTAACAGCATGCCAAGTCGATGCAAAAAGAGTGGAGCCAGGATAACATGGTGTGTCATGTACTTAAATGAGTGTCAAGACATTGTAGTAACTTGTATCAAGCTCCCAAATCTCATATCTCATAACAAATGATAAAAGGCAAAGAGCTAGCACACCAATTGCTTGAGCTTGCCATAGTTGGGAGATTGGCTAGGCTCTCACAGAAGCTTGCCAAGATTCCTTTAAGTCAATATATCTCTGATGGCTTCCAAGCAGAGAAAAGCTCACTAAAGTTTGGATATGCAGATGCCACTCCATCAAAAACTCACTCAAGAGCAAGCACAATTCCCATAAGATGCCTAGAGTAGGTAACGGCTGAACAAAGGTATCAAGCACTTTGCCTCTCATCCTCCAAGCTTCTGTGGTCTTCAGGTGAAAAAGCATCTTGCAAGAGCTTGGATGGGCAAGCTGCCGTTGTGTTGTTATATTACACCGCAGCGACATTTCCCTTGAAGCTAATGCTCTTAAAAACTGTGGACATTTGGTCATCTCTTACATCGGGTGGTGGGATATGCATATGGCCTCTACCAAAGTGTCACAAAAGGCATCAAGATGCTCCAGATATAAATGTGAAGCACCACTTTCTGGCAAATAGGCGCTGGTTTGATGCTTGCAGAAAATGCCTTGGTTGTAGACTATTCCAATACAGGTCAGCATGTCCTCTGTTCTCCTCAGGAGCTTCTTGAAGACTCTAGAATTCTCTAGTGAAGACCTCAGGCACTATCAGCAACTGCTGCCTTGTGCATTTGCTATGAGAACCAAATTCCCGTCCAGCAATCACTCTCCCCATGCCCCAATGCCACGCAAAGCACTGTCTCATGAGGTTGGAGGAGCTTGGGTTAGGGCATAACCGTCAATCCACTTGGTGGCATTTGCCCTACTGAAATCTCTCCACTCGGTGATAGTGGCATTTTTGGCTGTAGGTGATGGCTCAGGCCTAGCATCGTCAAAATCACCATGCCACTGCTTTGGCCTCAGCCATACATTGCAGGGCTTTGGTTGCACCAGGAGAGGGGCGTAATAGTGTAGCTGCCACTGCTGCTGGAATTGGGCAAAGTAAAAATCACGATGGGCTGCCACGGAGAAAAGGCATGATAGCTACTGCCTGCCACTGTTGGTGCATGTGGTGCTGCTGAGGAAGAGGAATAGAAGCTCTCTATCTACTTGCTAATCACCCAGATTCAGTCATAGCCGTGCACTTCTAGTCTAGTCGAATTAGCTGAGGCTGGCAACCAGAACCAACCACCCAGCATTTGCTGGGCAATTACTTGCTTATGTTTTGAGAACAGCATGGTTTCGTGAGAAATTATTCTTTGGAGCTTGAGCTGGATGACCTAGAGAGGAATACCATCAACCACTCCAGCTCCTACACGGGCCGAGGGGGCCGAGGGTCTTACAAGAACATGTGTTGCTTTCAAACACTAGGACTACTTCCATCTTTCGAGCCAAACGGCTTTCTCTATCTGCAAGTAGTATGAACTTGTAAGGTTTTAGCAACGGTAGAAGAGGAATGGCGATTTTGTCGAGCTAGGGTGACTGACTTGGGAGAAACAAATCATGTAAGGATCCTCATTTGGAGAGCGCCTGAGAAATTATGTGGATCCCAGCATTATAGAAAAGAGAAGAAATTTCAAAACACGGAACTTGACTATAAGGACTAAGCAATGCCGTCCTAAGACAACTCTCTAGACTCCATCAAGCATTGTGTGCTGCCTCGAGCTATAAATACGAGCCCCTCCTGCCTCACAAATCAAACCACTTCTCTCTTCTCTTAGTCTGAGCAGCAAATCATGGAGAACAAGGCTTTGTTGGTGTTGTTTTTGGCGCTCGCCATGTTTGTGATGATGCTGGCCATGGGCGTGGACGTGGGAGGAATCGCAAAGGCTGCTGCCCAGCGCTGCCAGTCGGGGTGGTATTGGTATGACAACGGTTGCCACCGTTGCCAGAGGGGTTGGAGCTGGCGCAACAATCGCTGCTGGCGCAACTGAAACCTCTCGTTTCACGGGGTAAGCCCAAGTTAAGAATCAGCATCGTAATTGCCTTTGATTTCATCATTTTGCAGTGCCAAGAAAGAATAAAGACACTGATAACGTGTTTTCTGATCGTGATGAGTTCCAGCAATAATAAATAAATTGTCCAGCTTGATATAAAAAGTCTGAATGTCTCTTGCTCCTCCTCTCTTCTCCAAATCCCTCGACTTCCAATTAATACATCGCTGGATTGATCGATTGCTCGACTCGATTGGAGCGTCACAACCAGGCCCAGGCACACCTAGCTCACCAAGCGCTGCCGATGGATTTCGCTGCGTGCAATACAATTGGTACGGGTATGACAACAGTTGCCATCGATGCCCGTGAGGGTGGCGCGCAGCCGCTGCTGAAGAATCGCCAAAGTTCGCTAGCCTGGTACCTCGAAGAACCACGGGAGCGCATCTCGAATCATGAAAAGTTGGGCTGACAGCGTGGATGAGATATATTGAATAAGAGTGAACGAAAACGTTTTGGAGTCCTATGAATCTTCAGTGACCTCTATTCATGTGTTTGAAATTTTCATGCCCGTGAGACTGTCAATGTGTTTTCTAGAAAGTTGGTTCACATTTAATATCAAAAAAATTTAGAACGGGTCAAATCTATATGTTTTTCTTAGTCTCGACGTGGAACTTGGAAAAGCAACAAGAAGGAAATAAGACGCAGTAGTGGAGACAAATTTTTCAACAAATCTGATCTCTTTCCCAAGACAAAGTCTAGCAATTAGATACACCGACCACGTCCCCTCTCTCGATCGAAAATGAAATGAAACCTTCTAAAGATCGTCAAGATCCAGCTATTTATTTGGATATTTGTCCTTTTCAGTGGCAGCAATGGCGCGTGGTGATGCATGAGTTTCAATAATATATATTATATAAACTGTGCCTTTACTCATCTGGATTCATGTTGTTCTATGTCCTAGCATTATAGAAATAGAAAAGGAATTGACAAACACGGAACGATTCCTCGACTAACTTTCAAAGGACAAAGTGATGCCGCCCCAAGAGACGCCACAGCATTGCATGCTGCCTCCAGCTACAAATACGAGCGGCCTCACAGATCAAATTACTTCTCTCGAATATACTCGTTGAACTCTTAGTTTTAGCAGCAAATCATGAAGAACCAAGGCTTGTTTTCGGTGCTTGCCATGTTTGTGCTGATGCTGGCCATGAGAGTGGACGTGGGAGGAATCGCACCTCGAGGATGGCGCTAGTATGGCGGCAGCTGCCACCGTAACTAGAAAGCTAGCTCCTCTCTGTGATCGTAAGTTTCCTCTCGGCAATTTTGAATGTATAATTCAACTATGAAGAACAAGTTGAGGGAACACACGGGCTCGTGGATGCTGATAAACACCTGCCATGCTCGATCTGCGCGCTCGCATCTTCCATAGAGCTGGATGAGAAGATTCTCCTGGAACTTGATGCTTGGCGCTTATGCCCAGAATGGGTATCTGGAGGAAGCAAAAGAGCTGTTTGACCAGATGCCACAAAGGGATATTGTTGCATGGGTCACTGTTATCACGGCTCATGCAAACCATGGAAACTTAGAGGAATGCCAAGCATTGTTTATTCAGGTTTCAAAATGGGATGTAGCTTGCTGGAACTCGCTACTTACAGCATATGCCCAAAACGGGCATATGGATCAGGCAAGCCAGATCTTTGATGGAATGTTAGAACACAACATAGTTTCTTGGACTGTTATGGTTAATGGGTATGCAAGAAAGATCTTGTTAAATATGCGCTAAATTTTTTTATGAGAATCCCCGAAACCAACGAGCTGGGATGGACTGTTCTTGTCACTGCATATGCCAGCTTGGGCATATTGAAAAATCCAAGGAGGTTTTCAGTAAAATGCCACAGCGCGACTTAATCTCGTGGAACGCAATGCTAGCGGCAACGTCCAGCCTGCAAGAAGAAAGGTCTCTGTTTGATGGCATGCCACAGAGGAACGTTGCATCGTGGTCGACAATGATCACAGCACTGGCCGAGAGAAACCAGCTTGAAGAAGCTCGCATTCTCTTCGATCGAGCTCCTTATCGCGACGACGTGGTGTGGACTGCCATGATCGTGGCCTACTCCAACCACGGCCACCTCGAAGAAGCCATGAAGATGTTTGCACGGATGCCACAGCGCGATCTCGTCGTTGGACGGCAATGGTGGCGGCAATTGCTTTGCACGGGAGCTTGATCGATGCCAGAGCCTTGTTACAAAATGCCACAGCACGATAGCGCCGCGTGGAACACGATGCTGGGAGCTTACATCCAGAGCAATTGCCTCGTCCAAGCGCGGGAGCTCTTCACAGCCATGCCGGTGAGAGACACAGCGAGCTGGAATGCGATCCTTGCCGCGAGCACTCAAAGGGGGAATCTCTTGCAGGTCGGGAAGATCTTCTCCACATTGCCTGATCGGAGCATTGTGTCGTGGAACGCGATGATCCATGGCTGCGCACAGAATGGCCATGAGCGAAAAGCTGCTGAGTTTTTTGGTAGCATGGCGATGGAGGGCGCGGCGAGAAACGAGATAAGTTTCCAGGCGATTCTCCTGACTTGCAATCACGGTGGGAAGCTCCGTGTGGCACTCGACTACTTTCGATCTATGGTGGCCGAGTACAACATTTCTCCAAATGTGATTCACTTCCAGGCGATGGCAGATGTGCTGGGACGAGCCGGGCTGGTTGCCGAGGCTGAAGGTCTGCTGCTGGTGATGCCCTTCCAGCCGCATTTCCTCGCGTGGAAGAGCTTGATCAGCGCTTGCAAAGTTCATGGTAGTGGCAAGAACATCGATGCAGCTCGTGCCGCAGAGAAACTCTTGGAGATGAAACCAGGGGACTCTAGCGCTCTACGTGCTCATGTCGAATCTGCAAAAGCAGCTACGTCACATGAGTCCATTTGGCAGGTTAACATTAAAGAGTCAACAAGTATAACTTTAACAACAACATATAATTAATAGAATAACATTCTATTATTAACATTCTTTAACTTAAATAAGAAAAACAATTTTAATGAATAAAATCTTGATAATTATTGATATCACTTTCATTATTGCTCTAGAATGTCCAAGAGATTGTCAAGAGCCTGCCAGTGAGAAGAGACGATGTAGCATTTACCACTTTGATTAATGTTGCGGGTGACTGGAAGCGGCCGTACTGAGTCTGTGGTCGAGAAGGAAGACAAGGTATTAGGTTCGTGTTCAGTATATTAGCATGGAATTTCTATGGAACTTTGAATCAAACTCTTGTAAAGTTTTTGCAAAGCTAGAAGAGGAATTCTAGAGTGACTTTGGAGATAAGGATTTGAATGGTTGGAGAAGCATTATAGGAAAAGAAGAATTGGCAAACACGGAACCACTTTTACTGGACTAACTTTCAAATATTCTTTCAGAGATAAGAAATAAGCAAAGCCGTCCCAAGACAACTCTCCAGTGTCCATCTAACATTTTGTGCTGCCTCGAGCTATAAATACGAGCCTCTCCTGCCTCACAGATCAAACCATTTCTCTCTAATATACAAGCCTACTTGATCTTAGTCTGAGCAGCAAAATCATGGAGAACAAGGCTTTCTTGGTGATGTTTTTGGCGCTTGCCATGTTTGTGATGATGCTGGCCATGGGCGTGGACGTGGGAGGAATCGCAAAGGCTGCTGCCCAGCGCTGCCAGTCGGGGTGGTATTGGTATGACAACAGTTGCCACCGTTGCCAGAGGGGTTGGGTCTGGCGCAACAATCGCTGCTGGCGCAACTGAAACATCCCATTTCACGGGGTAAGCCCATGTTAAGATTCAACATCGTAATTGCCTTTGTTTTCGTCATTCTGCAGTGCCAAGAAAGAATAAAGACACTGTAACGTGTTTTCTGATCGTGATGAGTCACAGCAATAATAAATAAGTTGTCCAGCTTGATATAAAAAGTCTGAATGTCTCTTGCTCCTCCTCTCTTCCAATCAATGCATCGCTGGATTGATCGATTGCTCGACTCGATTGGAGCGTCACAACCAGGCCCAGGCACACCTAGCTCACCAAGGCGATGGTGCAGCGCTGCCGATGGATTTCGCTGCGTGCAATGCAATTGGTACGGGTATGACAACAGTTGCCATCGATGCCAGCGAGGGTGGCGCTCGAACGGGAGCCGCTGCTGAAGAATCGCCAAAGTTCGCTAGCCTGGTGCCTCGAAGAACCACGGGAGCGCATCTCAAATCATGAAGAGTTGGGCTAACAGCGTGGATGAGATATATCGAATAAGAGTGAACGAAAAAGGTTTTGGAGTCCTATGAATCTTCTGTGATCTCTATTCATGTGTTTGAAATTTTCATGCCCGTGAGACTGTTAATGTGTTTTCTAGAGGTTGGTTCACTTGTAATATCAAAAAAATTTCAAATCTTTGGACTAAAATTTATTAGTATATAATATTAAATAAAATAATATATGTTTTTGTCATGAAAAGTTTGCCATCTTAGTCTCGACGTGGAACTTGGAAAAGCAACAAGAAGGAAATAAGAAGCAGTAGTGGAGTCAGAATTTTCACCGAATCTGATCTCTTTCCCAAGACAAAGTCTAGCAATTACATACACCGACCATGTCCCCTCTCTCGATCGAAAATAAAATGAAAGACTTCTAAAGATCGTCAAGATCCAGCTATTTATTTGGATATTTGTCCTTTTCAGTGGCAGTGAAGTCTATAGCAATGGCGCGTGGTGATGCATGAGTTTCAATAATATATAATATATAAACTGTGCCTTTACTCATCTGGATTCATGTTGTTCTATGTCCCAGCATTATAGAAAAGAAAAGGAATTGACAAACACGGAACGATTTCCTCGACTAACTTTCAAAGGACAAAGTGATGCCCCCCCAAGAGAAGTTACAGCATTGTATGTTGACTCCAGCTATAAATACGAGCGGCCTCACAGATCAAATCACTTCTCTCGAATATACTCGTTGAACTCTTAGTTTTTGCAGCAAATCATGGAGAAACAAGGCTTGCTTGGTGTTGTTTTTGGTGCTTGTCATGTTTGTGCTGATGCTGGCCATGAGAGTGGACGTGGGAGGAATCGCACCTCGAGGATGGCGCTAGTATGGCGGCAGCTGCCACTGTAACTAGAAAGCTAGCTCCTCTCTGTGATCGTAAGTTTCCTCTCGGCAATTTTGAATGTATAATTCAACTATGAAGAACAAGTTGAGGGAACACACTATGACCGCCGTTTCCTTTGTACTGCACAAATCCAATTGGCCCATGTACGCTTATTCACCATTGACAAATCAAAGCTCTATCTTGTCAGTCGAGAGAGTTTGCTGTATTCCAGGAAAACGCCAGTAAAAGCAAAGGAAATGATCGATGCCAAAGGTTGCATGTGGTGAGATGGGTAGTAATATCACGTCCACGCCTAACAGTGTTGCTGTTTCCAGGACAAGTTTGGTACCTGTGGCCATCAACAATGAGAGTGTGGCAGTTGTAGGCGAGCATCCATTAGGGATTGATTTCATAAAGGTTCAAGCCTATTATTCAAGCTTTCTTACTGATGGAGAATGTAGCTCCCACTTTGTAACCTGAAATCCAGTTTTGCATCCTCCACTTGCCTTTGAAGATAAAGAATCCAGGTAGCAGCATTCACTGCCACAAGAACAGTCATGTGCCCATGTTGTTTGGGAGCGCCTCGGGTGTCCAAAACTTTGACACCTCTAGAACAATTAGCTCAGACACTAGTTTTGTCAACATTCCAGATGTGATTTGGCTCGTAACTGCTTGCAGCATAAGATGCATCAAGATTCTCATACAATCGTGATGCAACTTCTTTGCTTAGGAACTTTGCATGTTGGAGCTCCAAGGCCTTTGCAAGCTTGCTACTGATCTCTGGGTGCCATTTCATGAAGCTACTGCTCCACTTTTGGCTCGGTTCTCTGTCTGTCCAGCTTAGTGCTATAGAGGCCTGGAAACAACAGGAAGAGAAGTAAGCTGGTTCTCTTTCTTTTTATCTTTTACCTTTGCAGGTCTGGGACTTTGGCTTTCACTGACAAGAGCTGCCTGACAATTTTTCTGCACAACAGGCTAAAAGTGGTTTAATTAGTGTACCTCTGGATGCAAGCCAAGGAAGTATTGTGAGATTTTCTTCGTGTAATGTTGTTCTGGCTGAGATTTGCAGTTGATGTAACAGTAAAATCTTGTGATCGGATATCTTGTGATCTAGAAAACATAAAAGAAAGAAATGCATTCTTTGTTACAAGAATGTTCTTACCTCAAGATTCTATGCACTTTCCTAGTCCTAGTATATTTTAGGTCTAACAAAAGTGATAATGATTATGCAAACTTTTGGAAGGATAAATTTAAATAGTATACCAAGATGCATTTTTTTATTATATTTAAAAGAAAACCTCTTGAACACAGAGGTTTCCTCAACTGAACACAATGCTAGAGTGCATCACTTTATCCTTTGAAAGTTAGTCAAGGAAATCGTAGCAACACACTAAATCAAAGTACAGACAACATTTTTTGTTTTTTCACAATATTATATTATTGTTTAATTCATGCATCACCATGCGCCATTGCTATTGGCTTCACTGCCACCAAAAAGAAAAAAAATCCGTGTTTTATATACATGGTGTATGTACTTGCTAGACTTTGTCTTGGGAAAGAGATCAGATTGTTGAAAATTTTGTCTCCACTTGTCATATTTCCATCTTGTTGCTTTTCCAAGTTCACTTTCATTGACAAGAATATATATTAGTTTATTTAAAGCTGAACGCTTTACACCCTTGGATAGATTGACTCATAGTTGGCTTTCTTTCTTTTTTATTTTTCATGTTCTAAATTTTCTTGTCATTCTGGTTATTGCGAATGTTCAACAACTTTCCAGAAAACACATTGAGAGAATTCCAAACACGTATATAGAGATCGACTCCAAAATATTTTCATATTCTATGTATCTCATCCACGCTGTCAACCCAGCAAGCTTTGGCGATTCTTCAGCGGAGGCAGCGGCTGCTATTCCCCTTGCTGGCATCGATGGCCTCTGTTGTCATACCCGTACCAATTGCAGTGCATGCAGCGAAATCCATTCCAGTACCATCCTCTGCGGCAGCGCTGCACCATCCCCCCGACCTCCACTCCCACTGCTAGGTGTGCCTGGGCCTGGTTGTGATGATCCAATTGAGTCTTGTTGCTTGCCGATCATTGGAGCAATCGATCAATCTAGCGATGGATTGATTGAAAGTCGAGGGATTTGGAGAAGAGAGGAGAAGGAGCAAGAAAGATTCAGACATTTTATATCAAGGCCTGGACAATTTATATATTATTGCTAGAACTCATCCAGCATCGCACGATACAGAAAGCACGTTATCAGTGTCTTTATTCTTGTTTCCAGACCCTTGGCACTGCAGAATGATGAAATCAATTACGATGCTGATCCTTAACTTGGGCTTACCCCGTGAAACGAGAGGTTTCAGTTGCGCCAGCAGCGATTGTTGCGCCAGCTCCAACCCCTCTGGCAACGGTGGCAACCGTTGTCATACCAATACCACCCCGACTGGCAGCGCTGGGCAGCAGCCTTTGCGAGTCCTCCCACGTCCACGCCCATGGCCAGCATCATCACAAACATGGCGAGCGCCAAAAACAACACGAATAAAGCCTTGTTCTCCATGATTTGCTGACAAACTAAGAGAAGAGAGAAGTAGTTTGATCTGGGGCTCATATTTATAGTTCGAGGCAGCTACAAAGTTGTCTTGGGACTCTGTAGTCAAGTTCCGTGTTCGGGAATTTCTTCTTTTTTCCAGCATTATAGAAAGAAGAAGAAATTCCCAAACACGGAACTCAAAGAGATAAGGACTACGTCCTGCCTCATAGATTAAACCATAACAAGCTTACTAGCAGCAAAAAGGTTGCTCGTCACGTTTGTAATGCGCATGGGCGTGCACGTGGGAGGAATCGCACCTCGAGGATGGTGCTGGTATGGATCGTAAGTTTCCTCGCAGGGATTATTTAGCAATTTATAATCAAACCGTGATGACTATGAAGAACAAGTTGAGGGAACACACTGTGACCATCGTTTCCTTTTTACAGCAAAAATCTAATTGCCCCATATGAAATCCCGCCTTTGGAAACACTTATTCGCCATTGACAAATCAACGCTCTATTTTGTGTCGAGAGAGTTAACTGTATTCCAGGAAAACGCCGGAAAAAGCAAAGGAAATGATCGATGAGAACGCAGATGTTAGAGGTAGAGATGATGTGGCATGTAATTATGCACATTTACCATCCATATACAGTTGAAATACATAGAAAGTTCTTCCTCCTCCTGCGTGTCTCTTCGCTGCTAACAATTGAAGCCTCTAGAACAGGCCGTGGACGATCTAGAGCCCGCGTGCATTGTCGTTCGACGACGACTACGCGCAACTCCTCACAGCTTGCATCCAGAAAAGAGATTTGCGTCAAGGCATCCTTCACCACCAATCCAGCAGGTACCTCGCAAATCTTCTCATCCAGCACTAAGGAAGGTGCGAGCGCGCGGATCGAGCATGGCAGGTGTTTATCAGCCATCCATGAGCCCAACAGATTCTCCTGGAACTTGATGCTTGGCGCTTATGCCCAAAATGCGGATCTTGAGGAAGCAAAAGAGCTGTTTGCCACAAAGAGATATTGTTGCATGGGTCTCTATTCTCACGGCTCATGAAAACCGTGGAAACTTGGAGGAGTGCCAAGCATTTTTTTATCATGTTCCAAAATGGGATGTAGTTTGCTGGAACTCGCTACTTACAGTATATGCCCATGGATCAAGCACGCCAGATCTTTGATGAAATGCTAGAACACAACACAGTTTCTTGGACTGTTATGGTTACTGGGTATGCAAGAAAAGGCTTTGTTAACGACGCGCTAAATGTGTTCATGAAAATCCCCGAAACCAACGAGCTCGGATGGACTGTTCTTGTCACTGCATATGCCCAGCTTGGGCATATTGAAAACTCCAAGGAGCTTTTCAGTAAAATGCCACACCGCGACTTAATCTCGTGGAACGCAATGCTAGTGGCAACGTCCAGCCTGCAAGAAGAGGTCTCTGTTTGATGCCATGCCACAGAGGAACGTTGCATCGTGGTCGACAATGGTCACAGCACTGGCCGAGAGAAACCAGCTCGAAGAAGCTCGCATTCTCTTCGATCGAGCTCCTTGTCACGACGACGTGGTGTGGACTGCCATGATCGTGGCCTACTCCAACCACGGCCACCTCGAAGAAGCCATGAAGATGTTTGCACGGATGCCACAGCGCGATCTCGTCGCTTGGACGGCAATGGTGGCGGCAATTGCTTTGCACGGGAGCTTGATCGATGCCAGAGCCTTGTTCGACCAAATGCCACAGCACGATAGCGTCGCGTGGAACACGATGCTGGGAGCTTACATCCAGAGCAATTGTCTCGTCCAAGCGCGGGAGCTCTTTGCGGCCATGCCAGTGAGAGACACAGCGAACTGGAACACGATCCTTGCCGCGAGCGCTGAAAGGGGGAATGTCTTGCAGGCTGGGAAGATCTTCTCCACATTGCCTGAACGGAGCATTGTGTTGTGGAACGCGATGGTTTTTGGCAGCATGGCGATGGAGGGCGAGGCGAGAAACGAGATAAGTTTCCAGGGAAATCTCCTGACTTGCAACCACGGTGGCACTCGACTACTTTAGAGCTATGGTATTTCTCCAAATGTGATTCACTTCCAGGCGATGGCAGATGTGCTGGGACGAGCCGGGCTGGTTGCCAAGGCCGAAGGTCTGCTGCTGGTGATGCCCTTCCAGCCGCATTTCCTCGCGTGGAAGAGCTTGATCAGCGCTTGCAAAGTTCATGGTAGCGGCAAGAACATCGATGTTGCAGCTCATGCCGCAGAGAAACTCTTGGAAATGAAACCAGGGGACTCTGGCGCTCTACGTGCTCATGTTGAATCTGCAAAAGCAGTCACATGACTCCATTTGGCCGGTTAACATTAAAGAGTCAACAAGTATAACTTTAACAACATCTAATTAATAGAATAACATTAAGAAAAACAATTTTAATGAATAAAATCTTGATAATTATTGATATCACTTTCATTAATCGTTGCAGATTGTTCTGGAATGCCCAAGAGATTGTCAAGAGCCTGCCAGTGAGAAGAGACGATGTAGCATTTACCACTTTGATTAATGTTGCGGGTGACTGGAAGCGGCCGTACTGAGTCTGTGGTCGAGACGGAAGTTCTATGGAATTTCGAATCAAACTCTTGTAAAGTTTTGGCAAAGCTAAAAGAATGCTAGAGTGACTTTGGAGATAAGGATTTGAAGGGTTGGAGAAGCATTATAGGAAAAAGAAGAATTGGCAAACACGGAACCACTTTTACTGGACTAACTTTCAAATATTCTTTCAGAGATAAGAAATAAGCGAAGCCATCCCAAGACAACTCTCCAGCCTCCATCTAACATTTTGTGCTGCCTCGAGCTATAAATACGAGCCTGGCTCACAGATCAAACCATTTCTCTCTAATATACAAGCCCGCTTGATCTTAGTCTGAGCAGCAAATCATGGAGAACAAGGCTTTCTTGGTGATGTTTTTGGCACTTGCCATGTTTGTGATGATGCTGGCCATGGGCGTGGACGTGGGAGGAATCGCAAAGGCTGCTTCCCAGCGCTGCCAGTCGGGGTGGTATTGGTATGACAACAGTTGCCACCGTTGCCAGAGGGGTTGGGTCTGGCACAACAATCGCTGTTGGCGCAACTGAAACCTCCCGTTTCAAGGGGTAAACCCAGCTTAAGAATCAGCATCGTTCCTCTGAATTCATCATTCTGCAGTGCCATGGTCTGGAAAGAAGAATAAAAGAACAGTGACAACATTTTTTCTGTATGGCATTGCGTGAGGTCCAACAATAATATATAAACTGTCCAGGCCTTGATAAAAAATGTCTGTTCTCTCTATTTCTCATCTGGATTCACAGCTTCATTTCAAGAGTTTACTTCATTTGGACTCCAGGCTTGCCGACTGAGTTTTTCTTGCATGGCAGTTTTACTTCCTTCTTCGTGTTGCAAACTTCGTCTATGCCCCAGCGGCCCCAGCATTATAGAAAAGAGAAGGAATTGACAAACAGAACAACTAACTTTCAAATATTCTAGATGCCTTCCCAAGAGCATTCTAGCGTCTTGAGCTATAAATATTATGGGCATCCTCTCTCCAGTATACTAGCATGAAGAACATGGGGCCGTGGTTTGTTGTGATGATGCTGGCCATGGGAGTGGATGTGGGAGAAATCGCAACGGTATGGCCGATGCCCTCGATGATGGGGGTGATATGTCATAACCAGAGAGCTATAAGCTCCTCTGTGTGGTGGTTTCGGAGATCTTTTGCAAATTTTTGGCTACAACTCACAGTGTGTTCTTGAGTTGCATGGCCGAAATGAAAGATTAATGAATAAGAACGATTCAGGGAGTGTATTCTAAATATGAAGAAGAGTTTAGAAAAACATTGAGTAGTGTGGATAAGTACTAACCCAAACAATTCCATTCAAATCGGTGAAATGACCACCTTTTTACAGAGGCAAATGGCCAGACTCAAAATATATAGATGATGCAAGAAGGATTTTAGAGGAGATCAACTTCAAGGATTTGGTGTTGTGAGTGAATGATTGTGGGCATTGCCAAGTCTCTCATATAATTCTCCTCAATGGAAAGAAGATATTGTGAAAGAGAAAATGAGAAATGTCTAAATCCAAGGAAAGCAAAGTGGATTCATAAGTTGCAGCGCTTAGCATTTTCCTTAAGGCATCCGCATAAATTGTCACAGAGGGTGGTGGGATATGCCCATGGTGATGACTCCCCAGGATGAGAGCTGAAAAAGACTGATCATCTCTAGAACATCCGCATATATGTAAGAGCATCTCCAGGGAATATCCCAATATATCCTCACTTGCACCTATACACACTAGGGGAGCTCGTCCTCGAGCTCTGAAGGTAGTGTTGGGGTGTCTACACCTCAAATCATCTCTAGCATCTGCAACAATGTTGTGAAAGAAGGGCTTTGGTGAGTAGTGGCTCAAAGCTAGTTTCCTGGTCATAGCTGTCGCTCATCACCAGGTAATTTGGTTGGAGCAGTATGCTACTCCATCTACTAAGAAGAAGAGGGTACTTCAGTGCTGCAGAATGTTGGAAATGTTTTGATGTGAAAAAACGCATGGATCCTTTTGTTGGCTGCTTAAGCTCTGTTTGAGACTCTTCAGGACACACATATCTGCGTGGTGAAGTAAAGTTGATGTGAAAATGTTTGAAGCTAGAAAGGAAAGGAAAATGTAAGAACAAAATGATTACAAAACCTATGTTGCTGCTGTAGATACTCCTAAATGTAGTAGTGTTGAAGATGTGTTGAAGGGAAGGCAAGATATGGCCATCACTTGAACATAAAAAGAATTTGCATTAGTGATGCTTTCCACTTGAATTGATCTGCTCCAAGCTGATGTTAGCTTTAGTCGGTGAGAGTTTCTGACATCATAAAGCCAGACAAGTTCCCCTAGCTGAGCCATATGCCTTCCCTTGCTAATGACTTGTGGAGACAAGTGATGGTAAGTTTCCATGTCAGCAAACAAGCCAAGTCATCCATCCACCAAGTGTCACACCCATACCATTATGTACATAACTTTAGCAAAGCAATGAAGTCAAGAGAGCACTCCATATGCAAAAATCCATACATTTACATGGTATTGGGTTTGTTTCGATCCTGATGGTGAAACACTAGTATGCAACAAGCAAGAACATACTAGGGCCCTTGCAATCCTTGCTAGGGTGGAGTAGTGGAACCAAGAATGCAAGTGAGCACAACATGAACCCAATCCTTGCCTCTGCCTATGTGGTAAGCATCCCTTCTAGAGATTCCCACCACCTCCTCTCCCTCCTCGCTTTCCTTAGCCATTTTCTCTAAAAACCAATGGCTTGGCTTCTAGTACTCCACCTGCTCAAACCACCCCAATGGTCACTTCGGGCAGTAGCGATGGGAGAAATTACTCCAGAAGTTCATAAGTGAAAACTTCACAACATGGAAGAGTAAACTCTAGTTAATTTTGATGGCTAAAGATTGTTAGGACTTGGTCGAGGGAACTGAAGTGAGACCTCTTGACACTCATGCTACCTTGTAGACTACTTGGGACTCTAAGAACTTGAAAGCACTCTTGGTGATTCATTCATCTTCTTGATCTGGAAAAATTCCAAGGAAAATTGTCTCCCAAGTCTTCGTAGCCAAAGCCACTAACACTAAATTGGTTCTCACTGAAACATTTTTCTCCTTACACATGCAACCTGGCGAGACAATGGCAACATACATCAGTAAGCTCAAGGGCATCATGCAACAGCTCAAGCAAGAGGGCAAAGTAATCTCAGATGACTATGCAAAAGCTTTCTTGCTTTACTTTGTCTCCCTAGAGTTGCAACAATCATCCTCTATGCTCTTATTTATCCTAGGCAAAACCATGAAGGAGCCCTACTCTAATCTTCTCAAGGAAGAGCTCAAGATTGCTGAGCGTAAAGTTAGCATTTCAGGATCTCCTTAAACTGCTTATAGGCAATCATTGTTTCTTGCCAAGTAATTGTCGAGTGGGGAGCAAAAGAAAGGAGGCACGTTTTGTGGGCCTCATAGTCTGCAACATCACCTAGCTTTAGAAGCAATTTCTCCAAGAAGAAAATGTCTTTGCAACTATTACAGGAAGATGGGAAGATGAATGTCATGTAAAGAAGGTTGCCACCTAGCATATGCTTACTCAAAACCATTTATTGTTGATGATACTTATCATTGGTGCCTACTCTAGAGGTGTTATGGTTGGATAGTGGTGCTTCATTTCATATGACTCTCTTAAAGTCTATGTTTCACACCTATAAGCCTCTCTATACTCTACAACAATAAACAAACACTGCAGATGGAAGGTTGTGGCATGGTGATAATCAAGCTTCCAAATGGACTTCTCAAGGAGGTTTATTATGTTCACTTTGTCCCTGAAGCTGGATAGACTGTTCTTTCCATAGGTGCAACCTCAAATCAAGGCTTTACCACCACTTTCTTGGTAGAAAGGTACATAATCTATGCTCATGATGGTACTCATATGGCTAGTGATGAAACTCTCTGCCATTTAAATATGGAATTGGTATTTCTAACTCAAGTCCTTACTCTTCAAGCATATAAAACCATCAAGCTGTGGCATGCTAGTATGGGGCATGTCAATGAGCTAAATTTGCATGCCTTAGCTCGCAATTAACTCATTGAAGGCATCACACTCCTAGCTAGCCATCTAGGAGGTGTGACGCTTGCCATCTTGGCAAGAAAGTTTGCCTTTCATTCACATCAAGAACCATGGAGGAACAAGTTATAGACTTGTTGGATCTAACTCACAATGACATGTGCTACCTGCCCATGGAAACACTCAACCACAATAGTGAGTTTCTCAACTTTCTAGCTAAGGTTGGCATTGTTCACCAGTATATAACAGGCAAAGCAACTTAATCATGCTTTGCTAGAGACTGTTTGTGCCTTCTCCAACACATAGGCTTACCTAAATCCTTTTAGGATGAAACAGTCAACACAACTGTTTATATCCATAACCATCTTCCCACAAGGAGCACCAACATGGTTCTTTATCATGGGAAGCTCCCTCAGTTAGGGCACTTTAAAGTCTTTGGCTGTACA